ATCATGTTTAAACACGTGTCAAAACGTTCCTTTTAAATCGAGAATTATTACGTCTTAGAACAATACACGAAAAAACGTGTATTATTTAATTAATTGAATACAATTTGCACTATTTAAATATACAAAGACATTTTTAAAAAGTAAAATTGATTTATTTGAACACATATATGTGTGATATTCGGACAAAATTCGCAAGCTTAATTTTTAATTTTATTTTAAATTAATCCTATTTTGGCAGAAAAAAAGCTTTTATTCATTAAACCTATAGAATTTTATTGAATATTTTAAATACATTTTTATGCTGTTTTTGTACACGAAAGAAATTCAGAAAGACGGAATAGAATCAATGTAAAAAAAATTTTAATAAAAATTTTAATGTACAATTACTAAATGTTCTTTGAACGAAATAGATACATATTTTTCTTAATTGGCATGCAGCTGTTGAAAGAGCACAACGAAAACAAGTTCAAAAAAACTTAAATATGTCATTCATAATTAATCGTATCATAAATCAAGTAATCATTAATTAATCATAAAAAAATTCCTGATGAGCGCTGGATGGCAGTCCGGGCACACATCTTTGCTGTGCCAACGCAACGCGCATCTCTTTTATGTATATAATATTGTAATTCTAATTAATCCTTTAGATAAAATAGCTAAAAGCGTGCTACGTTAAGCGAAGGTAATATATAACATTCATCTTCATCACTGATTAAAGTAATATTTATTTATCATCAATTAAAAAGAATGTTTCGGATAAACATTATTCATTTTCAAAGAAGCATATACATATTACATAGATATTCTTTATTTATAAACAATTTTGACGACTGATATATTTCAAGAACAATATCATCTATTTTTAAATCGATTTCATTCATTAAAAGTCATGTAAAAAAGGAATCTAAAATCTGCATAATAACTATTTCGATTTTTTCAATAAGCATTTCTAGAGAATTATACTCGTGTAATTTAACATCTTTCTCTCTTTTTATAATTTTTTTTTATTTTCAGCGTTAAATATCTTGTTATTATTGTCATTTCTAATTTTTTTTTTCTAAAAATTTTTCTTATATTATCGAACTCATTACTTGAATTAAAAAACCTTTTAATCGCGAGTTTTTAAATATTTCATAACTTATATTTCAATATTTAAAGCGTTTTTTTTATTTCTGTCATCAAGATATAAATTCAAATATTACAATGAACAATTGTCTAATTTAAAATATGTGATAGTTTTGAAGTATTTTCCAGTTTATTAATAAGCAGATAATAATGATTTTGAATGTGATATTAGGCAAAATAATATTCTCAAGAGAATTGTTAGTTCTCCCAAGAAATTATTTCTCCTAAATATCTTTTTTAATTAAGTAATTTTTATCTGAAATATTAATTGATGATATGTAAAGATATCTGTAAAGTGAACATCCCGAAGTTGAGGCACAGAAGCGAGTCAATGGATAATTTTATGGCCGATTGAAAAATTTTGTAGATATAATTCCTCTTTGCACACCTTCACATACATCTTCTAAAGCTAATAACGCGTTAATATAATTATATGTAATTTCTATATAAATTGTCATGATTACAACACGGCACAACCATACAACGTATAGTATATCAAGTTTGTCACTGTACGCAGAATAATGACACATTTAACATTGTACCTACCCCAAATTGCGTGCGTAGTATGCAAATTAATAACGTAATTTGCGTACTACGCATACTTAATACTAGTATACTTTGTACAATAATACTCATCTTTTAGGAGAACGATTATGATTAAAGAGAGCTTCGTTTCAACGTACTGAATGTCAACGTTATTTTAACGATTTTATTTTGATATTTCACGGACGGGATTATTTTTATTATTTTTCCATTTTACAGTAAGTCTATTCGATCTTCCCTTTCCTTCCTTTTTTTACAAATTTGTATTTTTTAATGCGCTGACCTCTCCTCCCCTACCAGCGAACCGAAGTTATCGAACTCCATTTATTGTAAGTTTCGAAAGACTTGTACAATATAAATAATGAATAATAAATCAATAATAGAAGCTTCGTGGTCCAAAATCAAAATAAATTGAAGTTGGAAATTATTTAGCTGTACCGAGTACGAATTATAGATGTAATAAATTGATATTTCAGCTTTAAAGATAAGATTTCATCAAAGGTGAAACTTAAGAATAAAGATGAACTAATCCTACAAATAGTTATAAAAATATTTAAAACGTCAATATTTTTAATCCTACATATAATATACTTTGAATTACTAAATCTTTTCATTTGGCAAATGCTAAATAAACTAAAGAAAGGTAGAATCATCATCCTATGGATCTTTGAATACAAAGTAACGAGAAGGCAGACAAACTGGCCAAGACAGGGATGATGGAGAAACCCATTTGATCATATTGTTATTCCTTTCATTTTCAAAGATGAGAAGGTTAAGAGATATTTGGAGAAAGAATACCTGGCTATAGATGGAAGATTTGTGACGGAGATGAAATCAGGTACAAAAGTTGGACACGATATTATATCCGCGTGGATTAAATTAGCCAACAGGAATTGTGCGAATGGAATAATAATGCACGTTTCTGTACGATGTTACATAAGATTATATTTTGCAACTTTCTTCTCTGCGGTGTTCTTTTAGCGGGCCAGACCCATTAAAACGTGACAAAATGTTCATTCATCATAATGATGCATCATTCGATTCTTCTTTTGTTTTCCTTTTTAACTTTTCAAATTATTTCTTCTCTTTACGATGATTAGTGTTTAATCGTGTTTGCCATCAATTTCAGACAGTCTCTCAAATATACCGATCGAAAGAAGCGCGTATACGTAAACGTTGTCGCAAACTCTACACTACTCACGATGGCGAACTAATAATCTTTCTTTCACACATTCATCCGTTCCCCCCCCCCCCCTCTCTCTCTCTCTCTCTCTCTCTCTCTCTCTCATTTTGAAATACAACACATATATACTTTTTTCATATTCATCCTCTCATCTTCTCGTAGCCATATAAAAAAAGCGCTCGGCTAGTGTAAATGGAAAATGAAAACAGGATTAATACAATTCCTCCCGGCTATCGCGAGTAGGAGCGCGGCGAATATTGTGCAAATTAATACAATTGCGATGTTGATTAAAAGTAATATCAAGGAATCTTCTCTTCATGTTCATTTATGATTCAGTCTGTAACAATATATAATATATCGATTTTGAGATATTTTAAAAATTATTTCAAAAAATGTTAAAGCCCTTCATATGTATATATCCTAAATTGAAAAAAAATAGAGTCTAATAGAATCATCGAACCACAGATCATAAAGAAACGTAAAATAAATTAATTATTCGTTATAATTAATATTTTTCAAATCGTGTTTAATATGTTTTTAATGCAACAGGCAATTTCGTTATCCTGCACAATATCCCTTCGCTATAAGTGTAAAATACACACTACATGTACACATACATGTACATGTATATATATGTGTATATATACGTACGTATATAATGAATGAAATTATAAACTAACATTTTGTTTAATAATTAATAATATTAATAACATTAAAAGTAACTAATCCGTATTTTTATGATAATTACATATAACGAAATGTTCGCAGCGTCTATTTATTATATTTTATACACACATACACATATATGTATATACATATACGTGTGTTGTGTGTGTGTGTGTGTGTGTATGTGTGTGTGTGTGCGTGTGCGTGTGCGTGCGTGTGTGTATGTGCATATAAGTGAAGTGTATATAATGTACACATACATACACACATTTATGATGCGAGCTTACACTTGTATAATTGTTTTGTAAAGTATTTACAATTGCAGAAGGGTATGATTATTTTGTAGGCACTATGGCTTTGGACGTACACTAAGTTGTACGTTAGGGTACATCCTTGAGGGACTTCCAGACAATTTTTTCAGTGTATCCTTGAGATCTCGAGGAACAAGAAGAGGTATCTCTACACGAATCTCGCTCAATAAAACAATTCCAGCACCGCGTTACTTGACAGTATTCAAGTGTTCACCAGCAAGAAACTATCTTTAAAAAAAAAATCCCGTCAACAAGTTCAGAACAGTACTATGCCTTAAATCTTAGGATCTTAGACAATATGATCGTTGCGAATTGGAATTAAATACGCATTTAAATATGACAATATAGTCTAAGATCTTTCACTCATTTTTTTACTATACATGTGTACGTTTTGACTTTATTTAAGTTCATCTTCGTGACATTCAATAAAAAGTTGATCAAAGCGTGTGACTCCTATAATCGGTTAATAATATAATTATTGTTATAAAACGATTATTATTCATCGTTTAATTTCCCTTCCACTGAATAACGAGAAATAAAATAATATATTAAAAACAGAAAACGTTTATTTATCTTGATTTGCCATTCGATTGATTGGAATTACAAAAGCACGCGAAATAAGACTATTATATTGTCGAACGATTTATTAACAAGGCAACATGTAACCGTTAAAAAAAAACATACAATGTCCGAAAGAAGGACGACGGACTCTCTAGGTCGCATATAATTTTAAAAAAATCATCCGAGTCTCAATAATACGCACACAGTCATTTTTCGCGCGCACGAAGTAATCCTCACAATCTCGTCTTTCCCCTCTTCCTTTTTTCATTAAACAAGACTTTATATCAGAAAGAATTCGATGATTTTAACCGCCTCATTCATTTTACAATTGGACAACTACGAAAAGCAATTAAATCGTTGTCCGACACGAGTACAGTCTGTCCTCTCTTTGAATTCCCAAATACATTTTCTCTCCTATCTCTTAGCACAATTTACAATATTATTACAGATTGCACGAAAAAGCGCCTTCGCTTTTCAACTTTTCTTTCTTTCTTTCTCTCTCTCTTATACACATACGCATGCACACACACACACACACACACACACACACACACACACACACATACACACGCGCGCGCGCGCGCGCTCGCACGCACGCACGCACGCACATACATATACACACTCTTCCTCTTTTATCTCTTTTCTGTCTCTTTGTCTAATATTTTTGCAATCCATTCCGCAAACGTGATCAACGCAGACCATTTCAAGCCGGAAGCACACATTAACAATATTGTGATATGTTTATCCTGTGCCTCGGCGGTTCGGCTCTTTCACACTGAGAGTTTATGGTCCGCAATAAGAAATTAAAATAGTATAACCACGAAATATTCCAGAATGAGTACAAAAAAAACGTAAAATATTAAAATATTCTAGTGCAGACAATAACATTCCTTTATGGTTTTTATGGAGCATACAATAGACGGTGTAAAAAATTCTGTTACCGAAAAATATAATGCATTCCATGTGATATATCTTTGATTTCAACAGAATGCAATTTATGAAATTGCCTATGTCTCGACTATTTTGTTGCTATTCTTTTAAGCCTTCTTGTACTTTTAAGTACAAAAAATACGGAAAGTAAATTCCAGATATAAAATGGTGTGCTTGAAGAAATAATAAATAAATAAAAATGTCTTTGTATGTTTGCAATTTTTCGCGAAGATCGACGCGCGGAACGAAACTGCCAACTATCATTATTATGTAACGCGAAGGCGCATTGTAAAACTGACGAAGCAGTTTCATTTGTTTGAGTAACAACTCAAAAAGACACGAACGCCCGTGCAATAAGCGATGATATTTCTAGAATTTAAAATCGAAGAGATCCGAAAGACCTTCCTCGGTGCCTAACGAGAACGAGTAGTCGTTTTCGGAGAGAGGTGGTTCCAAAGTCAGTAGTTGTTCTCCAAAATCGAGAATACTCAGATCTGCAACAAAAGTAAGAGGAATGACGAACTTGCTATATCAAATCCA